CATAAATATGTTGTTGCCTTTTGCCTTTAATGCATGAAAATGAGTTTGCATCAGGACCCACCCTTCCTGGTTGAGCTGGGTTTGGTGCTCTCTGCCCTGCCTTACAGCCTCCTTTCCCTGTTCCTTGAAGGCAAAGAGAATACTCAGGACCTCGCTTGGACAAGGGGGTTCATGTTGAAGCAGGACAGAGTAAAACAAAGGATTGTGCCCAAAGAATCTCCAGATTACCAGGCAGCAAGAGGAGAGATAAAATTTTATTGACGTCAAGGTGCGCCGAGCCCAAGAGCTCTAAAACTGGCTGCACACCTAATAAAGGACTTTGAGGAGTTTTATACACACTAGTTATGCAGAGTATACGTCATAAACATTTTAAGCAATTTAAACATAGGCAATAGGAAACTAAAAGTTTTCAGAGCAAAAGAGAACTTCTTGCACATTCTTTTCCTTATTTCACACACTTTCTGTGGGGCTCATATCTCTTTCAGCAAGCGTTCCAGTTAGATTTCATCATCTAATGCACCTGCTTCCTAAAAAAAACCTTACCGAAAGACAGTTACCTAACCAAAGTTACTGGCAGAATGCTGCTAAGCTTCCTGTTGTTGGCTCTTAGTCAAGTGGGTAAGAAAGGTGGGGGCAGATTGCAGAGAGTATTTATTTCAGACGTCTGATTACTTTTGAGTCTGAGCAAAAGGGTTTTAATCATAAGGCCTGTTCCCCATAGGAATTATCTATATGTTCCTTCAATGTCTTGGGCAGGGTGTTAACTTGATCTCTGATGTTTGAAAAATGTTGATAGGTTGTTCGGACCTTTCAACCCTTCCTGCCTGAGCTGCTAGGAAGTTCCTTACCCAATCCAAAGGTAGGAGGAGGAGGAGGAGATTGGATTTATACCCCGCCCTTCACTTGGAGTCTCAGAGCGGCTTACAAACTCCTTTCCCTTCCCCTCCCCACAACAGACACCCTGTGAGGTGGGTGGGGCTGAGAGCACTCTGACACAAACTGCTCTTTTTCAAGGACAGCTGTGCCAGAGCTTGTGACTGACCCAAGGTCACATCAGCAGGTGCAAGTGGAGGAGTGGGGAATCAAACCTGGTTCTCCCAGATTAGAGTCCACGCACTTAACCACTACACCAAACTGGCTCTCTGGTAGGTGGTCTGTTCCTTCCTGAGATAAGTGAACCCCCTTCTCTCAATCATTTAAGAGGGTATGTCTCCCATGCCTCAATACCAACTCATGTTTTAACGACAGCTATCCATCTTGCCCTTCCTGGCAGGTACAGTAAATGGTTGTCTATTCACAGAAAGGCGTCTCCACTCTTGCTGACACTTTGTGCATTTTATGGCTCTCTTCCCTGGGAAAGGAAGAAGCTCCCAGAGGCTTGTGTAGCAGTAGCTACGATATCCCCAAGCTTTTTTAGCTGAGTTTGCAAACTCAGATTGGCCTTCTTATCTTGCTTTACCAGATGTATCTCAGATGCACCCACAGATTAGCTCATATGTTGTTTATGTCTTATTTAGTTAAGAATCAGTTATCCAGATAATATCACAGGATTACGTTAGCTAATCAAGGCTTATGTTTGCTTATCTAATTTAGTTATGAAGTTAACTAATAATATCACAATCAAGATAGACGAGATTGGTGTTTCTCTATAAATACGCACTCCTGTGACAAGAAAATTAGATTTCTCTGGATGGAAGTCTTGGAAGAAGAATAGGTGAGATTTCTTGGTGGGTAACCTGGGCTTTTTGATTAGCCCTAAAAGCAGTGAGACAACCAGCTTAAACCTGATTTGCTTTTTAAACTATTACTTACTAAACAGCAATGCTAGGTACTTTGATACTTTTAGCATTTATTGTCAGGGTCAATAAAAGATAAACGTTTTTGCTGATGATCTGTCTGGTTTGCTGGTTACACTCAAAGAAAAATACGCACCCCCTTATTATTTTGTATTATCAGAATTAAGGGTTGTAAGTCACTCTTTGATGAGATAAATCCAGGATAACTCTGTTGCTAGACATGTTCTGTAAAGGCAAAGGTATTAAAAGTGTTACGTTCAGGTTCTCTGACTGGATGCGGGATGCAAGTATAAGAAAAATGAAATTTTCTAGAGAATATTTGCCAATAAAACAGCAGTCCTTTACTTTACATTTTGTGTGTGGGGGGGTTTAATGTAAAAAATCCACCGGGCCATGGAGTGCATTGTTTTCAAACACAGAATAGTTATTATAGTAAATTTCTCTCCTGAGTAACTGTGAATGCCTTCCAAATCAATGTTTACATTTTAATAAATGTTTGATTTAAGGTGTGCTACATAGAAAGGAGATGGTGTAACAATAAAAAGGAATATGCAAACTAAACTAACTGAAAAACTTTTCAGAGGTATTCCCTTGTGCATTTTCTAATGACTAAGAACAGATAGAGAGAGCAATCTTCATTCCAACAGATCTCTGGAGACATGAAAGACTACATCTCCCAGCATGCCATGAGACCCACGGGTGTGCTCACTGGTAGAAATGACATGCTTTGTTGTTGCCATTATTTAATCAGAATTTGGGGTGGATGGATTGAAACCTGGATGCTGGAACTAGAGGTGAGGTCAAGGTCTGGGGCCTCTTTTCTGAAAGTCCCCTCCCCATTTTCAACTCACACACCTTGGTGAACGCAGAACTGCATTTATTGTAAAAGAGGGAAATATAATTTGCAGTGCACTGAGATATGGTTCTCCTTGCTCCCAAAGCTCCTTTCTTCTCCCAAATTGAAGTTGCCCATTTTTTTAAAGATACCAGACACAACAAGACTCTGTGCCACCTCCTCCTCGAACAAACAGTGTGAAGCATGCTGTTGGCACTGAGAGGAGCACCCAGCACAAGTGTGAGTCAGCCACAGTGGCTCCTGTTTCGCACTCGGTGCTGCCTCTCCTCCTCACGTGAAGCTTGCTGCTTGCACTGGGAGGAGTATCCAGACACAGTGTGAAGCAGCAGCTGCTGCTGTTTGGTGCTTGGGCTCAGCACCGCCTCCCCCTCTCCTAGGGTAAACAGTGCAGAGCATGGTGTTCACTCTCAAAGGAGCACCCAGCCCCAATGCAGAGTGGCAGCTGCTGCTGCTGCTGCTTCATGCTTGGCCTGCCTTGGCACAGCCCCCTACAAGTGCAAACACTGTGCTTCGAGATGTCTGGGCTTGGGTTGTCAGTTCACCCGGGCCGTCGCGTATTTTTACAGAGTGTTTGGGGAAAACACTGGGAAAATGCCGGACAGTTAAATGTCTGGTATTTTGTCAGTCCCCCCACCCGACAGTCAATGAAAATACCGGACTGTCCAGGTCAATACCAGAACCCTAGCAGCCCTATCCAGAGCCTGAAGGTGAGCGATGGCCTCTCAAGTCAGGGCCTCACTGTTCATGCCCTGGGTTTTGACCACCCTGCCCTTGGGTTTGGCAGAAGGCAGCTCTTGTGGTCTTCTGGCCAGGGCCAGCTTGAGGTGTTTCTGCACCCTAGGCGAAGTGCAGATGCCAACTCTGCTTCCCACTCCCAGGCAGGTCTCTTAGGCCTCACTAGGCCCAGTCCTGCACAGATTTCCAGAGGCCTATTAGGACTGCTAAGTCCCCCCGGGGGGTGGAGAAACCCCCGCCCCAGAGGCCCGTTCCCCGCCGCCGGTGGATCGGGCCCCAGGGGGAACCCCACCCCGGCGTGCACGTCACCAGGAAGTGACATTATGACGCCGGGCACGCTAGGGGCGGGGCCACGATCATCCGAGGGGAAAACTCTATGTTTTCCCCTCGGTCGTGGCCCTGCCCCAGCGTGCCCTGCGTCATAACGGCACTTCCTGGTGATCTGCATGCGGCACGTGCTTTGTGTGTGCGCACACGCATACAACGCAGGACAGGAGTCCCCTGCTCCCGGAGATTTTTGACTTGGGAACCCTAAGGCCTATACAGATCATGACACAGGCACTGTGCGAATTTGGGAGTGGAAAGAACTGGGACTCACCCCATGCAGAAAAAATCCACAAGGTGACCAAAAGTAAGGGGGGGTACATATCACAGAGGCTACTCCAGACCTGGAGTACCACCTTTCTTTGGGCAATTTATTCCCATTTGTTGTATGCATAATTAAAATATATACAGTTAGGCTTCCCAGCCTCCAGGTGGCCCCCAGAGATCTCCTGCTATTACGGTTGAAATCTAGCTGACCAATAGATCAGTTTTCCTGGAGAACACGGCTGACTTGGAGGGCGGACTGAAACAGCACATTTGTAAAGTGAACCTACATTGGGTCTTCAAATAGATGCATGATGTATGAGTGTTCACTATAATATGTGGACAGGGCTAGCATAAGGCAGTTTCTGGGTTTTGTGCGCTGGGGCTGAAAATGGAAATCTTGCTCTGTAATTGAAACAGCAAGAGATGGGGAGAAACAGCATTCAACTGCATGAAAGATGCTCAGAGGCCCTTCTCTCTGACTCCACGCCACCCTACTCTGACATAGGCCAATATGGTTGCCAGCCTCCAGGTGGGGCCTGGAGATCTCCCGCTTTTACAACTGATCCCCATCTGACAGAGATCAGCTCCCCTGGAGAAAATAGCTGCTTTGAAGGGTGGGGTCTATGGCATTGGACCCTGCCGAGGCCCCTCCCCAAACCCCGCCCTCTCCCAGATCCACCCCCAAAGTCTCCAGGTATTTTCCAGCCCAGACCTGGTAGCCCTGCCATTGGGGCACACTGTTATGGCTCCACCCTATGCATATCCATTAAAAGAAAAGAAAAAAGCTTTCCAGTTATTCTGAACAGGGCTTCTATGCCATCAGTCCAAGCGCATTAAGATGCAATGACCGCCACCTACCCAACTCTGGAAAGAGCCCTAGGCCAGGACAACTGAAGGACTACATCTCCCAGCATGCAGTGAGACACGGACCATACTCAGCGGGGGTGGGGGTAACGACATGCCGCTCGGGGCTCCGAGTTCCCCTGCAGAGATCAGCTGTGCTTTGGACGTCAGGAGGAGGCACCGAGGCGTGCAGCCGCTGAGATGGCCGCTGGGCTCCGCTACCCGGGCAAGGTGGTCGTCGTGACGGGGGGCACCAGTGGCATCGGTCTGGCCATCGTGAGAGAGTTCGGTGATGCCCCGGGAGGAACTGGGGGCGGGAAACGGGGGTGGGGATTGCAGCCTGCGATGGAAACGCCAGCTCTGCCACCACCCCCTATAGATGGGGTGGTGGCTCTGCTCGGGAAGTCTGCCCCCCACCCCTTCTCCTAAAGTAGTGGTCGAACGGTCACACATTTTTGTCTTGGCTCAAGAACGAGGGCTCCAGAGCCAACTGATTTATGCAGCAGCTCCATCGCTCGCTCACCACTTGAAGGCCAGCAGCTCACAAAGTAGACTTTTTGCTCCCAGGACTCCGCACACCTTAGAGGGAGGGGGCGTTGGTGGGGAGTGGTGAAGGCGGCGCGCTCTTGACAGCCTCTTCCCTGATTTCTTTCCGTCTCCTCCGGGGCACAAAGCAGGGAGTCTTCTTGGGGGGCGCTGGACAGAACAGCCGTCTTCTTCCGGCTTCAGCTGCTCGTTCTTAAAAGTTCCCCCTTCGCAGTTGCGTTATGGTTAAGCTAGGACTGTTCCAGGGCACCCGGTTTTCATGAAGATCTGCGGGGAAGGACCTTCTGGCCGCTGCGCTGCCCCGCCGGCCAGGGGTCCAAGGGTCACTGGGCAGTCGCGCCCCCCTCCCTCTCAGGGAGGGCACCGGTCCCAGGCGAAGACCAGCCGAGCCCCGGGCAGCGGCCGGAAAGGCAGTGGCTGCGGAGGGCTTCCTCCTCCCTCCCTCGCCGTCAGAAAGTTGCAGGAAGAGACCGAGGACCTGCAGAAGAGTTGTATGTGGGGTGTGTTTGAATGGCCACTGCCTTTAATTTTTGCCTGAGCCAAATATGCAAACTGAACGATTCCAGAGGGCACAGGTAATAGGGTTGCTTTCTTTGTACCGAAGGGTTCATAAACTTACCTGGGTAAATTATTGGGCCTGTGATCTATCCTGCTGCGTATCGCTTATTGTTCAGGAGGAGCCTATTGATGTCATTTCTGCATTGCTTAATGTGTCATGTGAGTACTTGTGCTGTGCGTCTGTTCTTTCCGGTGGTTCCGGATTTTTGAAGAAGAGATTGGATTTATACCCCGCCCTTCACTGGGAGTCTCAGAGCAGCTTACAAACTCCTTTCCCTTCCCCTCCCCACAACAGACACCCTGTGAGGTGGGCGGGGCTGAGAGAACTCTGACACAAACTGCTCTTTCAGAAACAGCTGTGCCAGAGCTTGTGACTGACCCAAGGTCACATCAGCAGGTGCAAGTGGAGGAGTGGGGAATCAAACCTGGTTCTCCCAGATTAGAGTCCGCACACTTAACCACTACATCAAACTGGCTCTCGTTAAACTCCTGATGCCTTCATTATTGAATGTGCCAATCTGTTGATTGTACTGACTCACTGTGTGTAATCCCCCTTGACACACTATGAGAAAGGTGGGCTACACAAATAATGTAAATAAAATTACGCTTGATTGAAAGGGGAGGGGTTTTAAAAGATATAATCAGTCATCTAGTCCTCAAGATGTGTGAGCCAGATTTCTAAGTTCTGTTTTGCATTTGTGTCCCCTTTCCCCTCCCTGCAGTTCGCCAAGGAGCCCAGGTGGTCTTTTGTGCCCCAGGATCTGAAGGTGAGTCTAGAGCAGTTCTCTCCCGCCCCTTACGCTTCTGTTCTCAGTCTATCCAGATTGCCTACTGTAAAGAAAATGTGAGGCTGGGACAGTAGGGGGCAGCAGGCGCACACCAGGAAAAAGAACTGTAGGACTGAGGTAGGGAACCGGCAGAAAACCCAAAGGGGTTGGACCTGGCCAGAAGATGCCTGAGGGGGAAACTGCACCTGATGAACTGCTGTGTCAGGCTGCTAGGAAAAGGAGCCAGTCCCTGTGTGTGTGTAATCAGAGTATAAGAAACATGCAACACTTCTTTTTCTCTCCCCTCAAATCTGTCATTGAGGAGAAAGAATCCATGAGTGAGGAGGTGCTTAGGGAGTCCCGCCATCTGAAGCTGGAGCAGTGGCACCCCAGGAAAGGGCCGTCCCATTCTCAGCACCAAAATTATGGATTTCCTTCCCAGAGAGATTCGTCTGCCCACTTCTGTCTTGGCATCTGCTGGCAGGTGTAGATTCCCCCCCCCCGCATTCCCCCATTGATTCTCATGGACCTTCCCTCCAGCCCATGTGTTCATTTGTTCTGTGCTGCTTCCTTCCCTTGTGGCTGTACAAAGCCAGTCGTTCAGCATGACTTTGTGCAGGTTGCTGACACAAGCAGGTCCCTGCCTCCACGCAGCTTACAGTCCAACACCAACAATCAGGAAAACAACACAGGATGGGATGGACGTCGGCAAAGGCCATCACGTGTACTTAGGGCCTGGGCACAGTTGGAAAGGGAGGTTAAGGGATAAGCCGAAGCCTAAGCAGAAAAGGTGAGCCCCGAGGTTTTGTTCTGCCTGCAACCTCTCCATTCTGTCCCCTTGCAGAAGAAAGGGGACGAGCAATTCAGAAGGAGCTGCAAGATTCGGGGAGCCCGGGGGAAGGTTACTTCCGGATCTGTGATGTCCGCAGTGAGATGGACATTAAGGTAGGCTAGCCATGGAGTCACAGCTCTGCTTCTTGGGGGGAGGGGGCTTCTTCAGCCTCTCCGATATATGTGGTTTTCTCTCTGGATCCATTGCTAAAACCATCTTCTGTATCTTTCTGTATTTGGCTTCTTTCTTCTCTAGAATGTTGTATCCCCACACACACACACCCATGACGTGTTCATTTTTCTACAGGCAACTGCTGAGCAGACTGATCTCTTTCTCACTCCTGTGCTTAAATCCCAGCACTGGAGTCCCTGGCGATGGTTTCTGCGTTTGCTTCAACATTCTAGTCCTCATTGTCAGAAGGGCCAGAGTTGTGGCATTGCTGAGACCCATAATCACTGCCAGCTTAACTGTAGCTTAACACTGGACCCAACCAGGTTGGAGACAACATCACAGGCAGTTCTGGGGTCTCCTACACAAGGTGCCTGCACCCCACCTATCCACAAGCTAAAAACATTCCTTTTCCCTTCCAGTTCCCTGTCACCCATTTCTTGCTGTGTTCCTCTCTTCCCTTTGTACAACCTCCTCTGCTATCCGTCTGTCTTGCTTACCGCTCCCAATGGAAGGAATTGCCCCAGCCCAGGAAGTTCTGATGGTGGCTGCTTGCAACCTGTCGTTATTCTTGCCCTGCCCAGAGGTCATTTTTTTTGGGGGGGGGCCCCACAGGGGATCGCAGTTCCCCCGGGTGTAGTGTGGGGGCAGGGCACATGACGAAGCCGCACCCTCTGCTTCCGGCCGCCCAGCTTCCGGCCCTCATTCAGCCAGGAGGAGGCAGGAGAAGAGGGAGGGTAAGTTGCTTCCTCCCCGCCTCTCCCCACCCCTGTCTGCCTGGGGCCAGGGAGGGCCTTGGTGGGGCTTCCTCGCACTCCCGCCGGCCTTGCAGGTCCACCGCCGGGCCCCTGATATCAGGGGGTGTGGCATATGCTAATGAGTTATGCTAATGAGTTCCCCTAGCTCTTTTTCTACATAACGACCCCTGGCCCCTGCCTTATGTCTCTCTTTATTTGTGTGCCTGCAGGTGTTGATTTCGGGGACTCTAGAACAGTACGGACGCCTGGACTGCTTAGTGAACAATGCTGGAGGGCGTGAGTTTCTTCCAAAATTATTATGCTCTGGGAAGAGTCAGGATATGTGTGGCTGGGGGGGGGGGAGAAATCGGAGGGGTCCAATGTAACGATATTAATA